GGCTTTTTAAATTCCGTTTAGCGATGTTTCGGTATAGCGAAGGTTAATCCGGAAGGGATTAACCTTCGCTATGCGAGGCACCACTGTATGGTCTTTGTAGGCTGAGAAATCAGAAAATGTCAAGAACTGCAAACTGCAACAAAATGGTGCAGTGTGGAGAGCTTCTGCTTGCTCTTAGAGCCAGCTACGCTCCCAAACTCCACTCCATTTTATTTCCCAATTTGCCTCGTCCCCCACAAATTGCCCCAGACGGCTGTTGTCTCACAGCCACCGAGCACACTTGGTTCCCACCAAGTTTTTCAGAGGAAGTGGGGGAGGAATCCTCTAACGGCTTCTGCATGCCTCAAGATTTCCTCAGCCCTCTCACTTCCTCCTCCCTGAGATTAGGTGAGGCCATTCCAGCTACACAAGCCTCCTTAAAGTAGGAGAGGTGCGAACTGCAATGCCTTAGAAGAAAAGAAAGCCATACAAAACCACATGTATCATCATAAAGTGGAAACGGCCCTGGCAGTGAAGGCCGGATTAAGATTAAGACCTTCAGAGGCCTAAGCACTGGAAACATTACCGTGCCCCCCCCCTGAACATAATGCATGGCAGGTCCCACAGTTTGAAAAAAACATATAAATTGCACATCATATGCAAGAAAATATGACAATCTAATTGTATAGCATGTGGCAAAAAAGAAATATTGTATGCAAAGTCATATGTATAATCAAATTATCAGCTTCTGGCCAAATCTTGTGCTTTCACGCTTTGAATAATATAAACAGATTCTGTCAGGAAATCTCAGACAACAGCTTAAAACCCCTTTTGGGGTGCTTTTAACAGTGGCTGCTATTTCTTTGGCTTCCACATGTAATGCAATGTGTCTGAAAGACCAGCAGGTCTTTTTATCCTTATTTCCACCCAACCTCCCAAAATACAGAAGTAAATAACAACAACAACAAGCAATGATGATGATTGATCATTTTAATCAAAACATGAGTTTTCTTGAGTCTTTTAGTTTTGACTTGTTTATATTCAACCTCTTTTGGGAGGGAGATGGTTTTCTTTGGGCTGTTGAAGGAGGGAGCCGAGGGTGAGGGATGTGGCTTGTTAAGGACAGCGCACCATTTGCCCAGGGTAACTCCAGCACTGAAAAAAAAATATCTGTG